TGAGGAGTCCCTGGGTGGTGCTAACAGTTCATGCACTCTGCTGCTATCTAAGATTGGTGGGTTAAGTCCACCCAAAGGCACCTGGGAAGAAAGGCCTGGCAATCTACTTCCAAGTAATCAGCCATTGAAAACCGATGGCACACAGTTCTACTCTGACACACACGGCGTCCTCATGAGTCAGAGTCGACTTAATGCTAACTGGTGACACCTAAAATGAACTTCCGCCACCCTCCACAGTGATACAAGACCCTGCCTTGGCCGACATTGGACTCTCCCACCTTCTGGGCCATTTCCCTGTCTCTGAAGGGGGTTATTCTGAGAGAAGGACGGGAGAGGGACATATGTTTCCCTGCCCTGGACTTTCCCCTGGGCCCAGGCCACACAGGTGGGGCTCTCTCTGGTCCTCAAACGTCTCTATATGCACTTTCAGCCACCTCTTCTCATCGTCCCTCTTCCCTGTCTGCCAGTACAGCCCTTTCTATGGCTTCATTTCCATCAGGAAAGCTGCAGGAATCCGAGAGGCCATCAGAGGCAGTGATGGGAGCAGGCAGCCTGGGTAGCTGTCTCCTCAAGTCCTAGAGGTTGACCACCAGTACTTCCCACCCGAGGTCAGGCCCAACCTGGTACCTGAGGGCAGCAGCTCTGCCTCCACCACGCTGATCTCCACCTTCTTCCGGCTCAGGCTCACCAGCTTGTCCCCCCCATAGATGAGCGCTGGGACCAGGAAGTAGATGTGGAAACGGGGCATCTGGATCAGGGCAAAGCTGCCGTGGATGATGAGCTGGAGACATGGCCAGTTAGTACAGCTTAGACCCAGCTGGGCTCCTCCCTGCACCCCTTCCCCCTTGCCCAGGCACTCCCTGTCTGGGCACTGGACCTGGACTGGGTAGATGGGGCTAGCATAGGCTCCAGATTCTGGGGTCTCCCACCATAAGTGCTCATCTCTGTTCCATGGCCTAGCCCTGCCCAGAGAAGTCCCTCACCAGGATGTAGAGCAGGATGTAGAAGTGGTGGGTCAGCCAGAAGCCCCGGAAGCTGCGGCGGCGGAAGTAGTGGGAGGCGAAGACATACATGATGGCCAGCACCAGGAGCAGGAGCACCCCCGTTAGGCCTAGGGCAGGAGAAATAGGGTCAGCGAGCAAGACCTCTGCCTGGACTAAAAACATGGTACAGCATTTCCTCCATTCCACCCCCTTCCTGACCTCTCTAATCCTTCTCAGCCCCCAGAATAGTTAGCTGGTGGGGCTGGAGCTGGGGCTTATCCTGAGGGCTAGAAAGGAACCCCCAGGCTACTAGAGACAAATATGTATTCCCAGGGAGATGCAGAGGTCTTCAGACTAACAGGGTCCCCCGAACCCCATAAAGCCCCCTCCTCTACCTGGGACTGTCTGGAAAAACCACCAGTAGAACTTCTTGGGAAGCTGGGACCTGGGAGGAAAAGGCACACTGAACCTCTGGCTTGGGCAGGAGGGGTCCCATCGCTGCCACGCCGCAACATAACTGCTCCCACCGGCCTTGACTTCTGGGGTGACTGGGATCACCCATCTCTGGCCTCCACCCAGATGGCCAGGGATCCTTCCAAAGAACATGGCACCCAGCCTCCTGCTGTCCCACTCTCTGCCCTCTCAGCAGTTTTTCCCCCTGTGTTACCCTGAACTCCCTTACTGCGGTTGACCTTTGCCTACTTGAGCGATTGGTTCAGTATTCTGTAAGCTCCATGAGGGCAAGGGCTTGTGTTTTGTTCACTACTTTATCTCTTTGCTTAGAACAGTGCCAGGCACACAGTGAATGCTCCGTGTAAGTCCTGCTGAATGACTGAATGTATCCCGGCATTCCTACTCTCTGACACCTAGCTGGACATGAGACATGCTCCCTAAATGTTTGCCCAATGATGGATGGTATGTTGGCAAGCTGTATGTCAGCACATGTGGGAAAGTCTTCAATTTCATCTCCCAAAGACCTTTGCTGGCAGATTACTGCCTGCTTCCACCCCAAAGCCAAGGAAGTCACCTCTTGGCTTCCCCAAGGGAGGCTTCTTACTCTTGCTCAGTGAAGGGGCTGTTTCTAGGGCCATCTTTTCCCTTTTTATTACCCTCACAAGTCCACTCCCAGGTGCCCCAAGAGGAGTCCTCCCCATAACTGACCCATCATTTTCAAAGACGCTGGGGAAGATGCAGGACAATAGGCTGAGGGGGCTGACTGAGAAGATGTAGACATTGACCACGTGGCCGGCACTGTGCAAAACTGGAAGAAATGAACCATGTGAGAGGTGCCAGCAGGGTTGGCTCTACCTCCAACCCAGAGAGGAAGAAAGGGGAGGAGAGACAGAGGTGTCAGGAACTCCGGTCTCCCTCCACATCTAAACCAGGCATCTACTGCAATGGGGAGGATGCCCTTGAGCCACGTACTGGCCAGGACAACAGCAGCCATGGCGATCCAGCGGTGGAAGTCCACGGCGGCGTCGAAGGGCACGTAGCGGTTGAGGAAGGTCTCCCGCAGGAAGGTGATGAGGTTGCGGCACATGGTGAGCAGGATGTAGGAGAACATGAAGGAGACGCTGGCTGCCGTGCCCCGCGACAGGATGATGCCCACAAAGGTGGTCTCTGCAATACCTGACGGTGGCGAGGCAAAGGCGTAGTCTGCGGAAGAAGTGTGGGTGGGTCAGCAGGGCCTTCTGCTGGTGTGACATGCTTTGGCTCTTCCTCCTGGACGCTGAGGACCAAGAAGGGCAACCAGAGGGCTCTCCCCTTCTCCCCCCGTCTGCCTCCCCCTGCCACCCACCACCTGGCATCCTTACGGTAAGCCCGCTCTGCAAACAGGCCAGCACAGATGAGTGAGAAGATGGTGACGCACACAATGTGCCGCCGGTAGTTCTCCACAAAGCGCTTGTACTGCCGCAGCTTCTGGGCCAGGAGGCCCCGCTGCATCTTCTCCTGCAGTGCCTCTGTATACAGCTGGGAAGGGCGCACCACTGTCCTGCAGCCATGGGAGACAGGGTGGCAGGGAGGTCAGGGCACCCTGGCCTCCCCCAAATGCCACCCCACCAAAGGAGACCTGGTGATCTGGCAGGGGTCACGATGGCCATACGAATGAAGAGCAAAAGCATTTGGGGGCAGACCCCTACCCCCCAATCCTCTACCTCCCCCCATCTTTACTTGCTTCATTCACCCTTTCTTCCATCTCCCTACTACTCCATCTCTTCCTCCTCCTGTTTGCCCTGTCCTTCCCTCCCCCCATTCCCTGCACAGGCCTCACTGCTCTGCCCAAAGCAGGTAGAAACCAAGAGGCCCCTCACTACCATCTTGGTCTTGCTTCTGAGTACAAGGTCCCTTGCTAAGGAATGGGGTGCAGAAGCTGGAGGAGGTTAAAGAGTCATTTGTCTTATCACCCCCCCACCCCCCAAATCAGGTCAGAGACAAATAAAACGAGACTCAGATGGTCCCTTGTGTGGCAAAGTGGTGTGGATAGTATCCAGAAACCCTGAGACTTCTCCCCATATCTCGCTAGGCCCAGGGATCTGGGGAAGACTCACTTTTTGCCAAACCTCTTCTTCAGCCTAGGGCCTCCCAGCTCTGGGGATTCTGAGGCAGGGAACTCTTGTCCATTGAGGTAGGAGCTGAGAAGAAGAAAATGAGAGCAAGGCAGAGTGAATGAATATATTCTGGCCGTCTGTGTTGTAGAATAATTCTGGCCTGGAAAGGCCAAGAGAGAGCAGCTCCCGGACAGCATGGGGCGTGGGAGGCAGCTGGAATTGGGACCAGGACTTCTTTCATAAGGTAAATGTCTGACCCTGGGTGCTGACTCAGCAGCCCTATGCCCCTCATTTCTCTGCAGGTGACCCATCCCAGGGGCCCTCCTAATACCCCATGCCTGCTCACCGTCCCTGAGGAGTCCGAGTGATGAATGAGACTTGACGGCTGATGTTTTTTTTAAAAATGTCTCTAACACCTGGAGAGGAGAACAAGAAGCTGGACAGGCCTCCCCACCAGGGTAGTGAGGCAGGGAAGAGTGGGAGACTGTCCCTTCCCTTGCCTCTCCAGGAAGGCTTCCAGGGCACTTGGTTGTGTCCAGATCTCTCGCTCCAGCCTTGTTTCCCCTCACTCCCCACCCTGAGCACCAACCGTACACCCACTGAGCGGCTATTGCTAGACAATGTGGCAACTTTGTGCAGATTAGAAAAGGGCACCCCCTCTGGGCGGATGCAAGCCTTCAGGACCACGAACACCGTCTTTGTGTAAGAATAGAGCACCTCTTTCTCTGGCAGATACACCCCACCCCAGTGCCTTGGTGAGCAGCATGTAGGCTGGACTTCAGCTCCCCCACCCTGACCCCTCCATCAGCAGCTTTGTGCAGTGCACAAATCACACACTTGTATGTGGCACCCAGGGGCGTAGCAAGGGTAGTGAGCACCCAGGGGCAATCTCTGAGTTGTGCCCCTCCCCGCCCCCTTTGATCTCAAGATGAATAGACATTGATAGCGGCAATGTGTCAATAGAAACGCCTGCCCCTCTTAGCTGGCTGCCTCAATCAGGCGCCTTTCAGATTTCTGGTGCCCCCTTGGACTTGCAGCCTGGGGAAGTGCCCCCCTCTGTCCCCCGCCACCTAGGCCTCTGGTGGCGCCCCTGATTACATGTGCATGGCTATGTACTAGGCACTGAGGACTCGTGGAAGAACAAGATCCGGGGCCTGCCAACCAGGAACTCTCTCGTTCTGAAGACACAACCCTCCCCCGACTCCTACTGCTCCTCCCTCCTTCTCACATACTCACCTCCGCCCCCACCTTTGATGCAGAGCTGCGTGAAGCAGAGCTCGCTGTTGTGGTCCCTCAGCATGAAGTGGAAGTCCTCCCATGTCAGCTCCTCCTTTTCCTGGAAGCCCGACTCCCGGAACATGGACTCCACCACCTCGGCCAGCTGGGCCTTGGACAGGCAGTTGTTAGAGATCTCAATGAAAGATCTGGAGGAAGAGCAGAAACAGAGCGGCCTGTCACCCGGTGAGGTCAGGCTCTGGCAGGGGCAGGGTGGGGCAGGCCAGATTATCTCGTGGTTACCAGTGATCTGGGAAGTGGCACTGAGAAGGTGCTCATCTAGCCTGCAGCTGACACTAAGCTGAGTGGAGTGGTCACAAACTCAGGAGGTAGGAGAATTGAAGGGGACCTTGACCAATTAGAGAAAGCGGCCCTCAGACATGGGAGAATCTACAGCTGAGATGAATGTCCACTCGGTGCTGGGACGTCCAGGGTGTGCCATGTCCTCTCTGGAGGCAGCTCTCTGCCCACTCTCTTCTGTTGACACCTCCCAGACATCCCTGGACTCCCACCGCACGCTCTGTGAGACATGGGAGTGGGGGGTGTAACTGCAGTGGCCACTGCTTCCTTGTGCCAGCATCCTGGGGTGCAGTCAGGAGTGCCTCCATGCCCAACCCAATGGTGCCCCAGTAGAGCTGCAGTGGCCAAATTTTCTTGGGCTGTACTTTGGGACAAAAACTTTCAGGCCATGCAAGTGTGTACAAGCCCCGCAGAAAAAGACCCATGCCATGTGGCATGGCAAGCACCGCCATCACACTTAAAAGCAATCATCCCGCTGAGACTAAGAAAGACTCACATGAGTTACAGGACGAGAAGGTGGGTGCTCAGCCCTTGGAGGCACAGACCCACTCCTAGATTCCCTATCACCCTGCCCATGGCTGGGTCTGCAATGATACACCCAGTGGGGTACAAACCACAGTCATCTTGTCCTGGCCCTTTAGGAAGCCCATGTCCAGTGTGGGTATCTGGACTCTAAGAGGGAGGTGGCAACTAAGGGGAATGCTTAAGGCAGTGGAAAGGCTTAAAGGGATAGACAAGATAAAAAGATCTGGCCTGCTTCATTCACTCTATGTATTCATTTGCACATTCATTTCATTTTATCTTATTCAATAGCCATGCATTGAATGCCTGCTATGTCCCAAGCACAGTGCAGAGGGGGTGGATTCAGCAAGGAACAAAGAGAGATATGAACCCTGCCTTGTGAGGAACTGTGTGACTGGGCATTGTCTTCAGGAATAGAAAACCTGATGCTCAAAGCTGGCCTTTATCAACACCCCAGAAACAGAAATGGCTGAAGAAGCAGGAAGACAAGATTTGGAATGTAGAGGAACTTTCCCTGTTTCTCCTCGTGACTGTCATGTGATTAATACTAACGTCATCCATTCATCCATGGATGGATCCATCCATCCTTTTATTACGTAAAGCAAAATGTGTGCAAAACAGTGTTAGGCATGCTGGGTTTGAGAGAGTTTACAAAGACCCGAAGGCATCCAACAGGGGTTAGAGACTTTGCTGCTGGTCGTGTTGGTGTTGTTTTTTAGATTTTTTTTTTTTTTTTTTTTTTAAACCAGGGAGGCTTTCTGGGCCATTTTAACAATGCAGACATAAACCCTCCTGGAGGCAGGGGCCTGGCCAAGTAAACGTTTGAAACTGGATGGATGCTTTGAGAGTCTAGGATGCAGTGTTGACCCCCCACTTCCCACTGCAGATGGCCACATAGCCTCCTCACCTGCCCTCCTCTGACCTGACCTGTTTTCCTGTTTAAAACAGCAGGAGGTCTCAGGTATGGCCCGTTCCGTACCGTATCATGGTGAAGAATTCATCCTTGGAAAGGAAGCCATTCCCGTCAAGGTCATACATGGTGAACATCAGGCGGGACTTATCCTCTGGGGAGCCTGGGAAGAGAAAAGGGGATGCAGATGGCTCCCTGCTGAAAGACATGTGGTTCCTTGGATGGCCTGCTGTCCCCTAACCCCTACCTTTCATGAAGACCACCAGGATATCCAGGAACTCCCGGAAGGACAGGTAGCCATTGCCGTCCTTGTCGGCCAGAGAGAACATGGACTCCACAAACATGTCCTGGGGCTTAAGGCCAAGAGACTCAGCAAACTCGGCCCTGCTCAGCTCGCACATCAGGGCCTCCCACACCTTCTGCAAGGAGTCCAGGGGCAGGGTCTCTGTGCCTGCCTGGTTAATGTCCAGCACCTGCACTTGGCCAGTGACAGAGGAAGGGAGAGAAGGAGGTGAGGCCTGGAGTGGAAGCAGTTCAGTGACCCCTCACATCTCCCCAAAGTCCAAGTCAGAAAGTTTGGGCCCTGGGGGCTACTCTTGGCCCTTAGATAGACTTCTGGCTCAGGCTTCTGCTCTCCTGCAGGAAGGGTGAATCAAATCTCTAGAAGCCAAGCCATTTTCTCCCTGGACCCCAAAATCAGGAGCTTTATGTAGTGAGGATGCTGCTGTATATAATGAGCGTTGGGGGCAGGGGGGCAAAGTTGCAAAGTGAGAGAGAATACACTGGGTAAAGAAGACATAGTAGACATGGGTGGACCAGCAGGAAGAGGCTAAGGATATGCTCTCTTGCCGATTCAGATAGGGCTGCCATGTGCCTATGATTTGGTCTCTGCCTATCGTGCAGATTTAAAAAGTACCATGAACATTAGGTAAGCAATGTACATAGATCAGTGTTTTTCAAACTTGAGCCAGCATCAGCGTTACCTGGACGGCTTGTTATAACACAGATGGCTGGCACCACCCCCAGAGTGTTTGATTCAGGGGGCCTGGGGAGGGGCTCGAGAATTTGCATTTCTAATAAGTTTCCAGATGATGTGGATGCTGCTGGTCCAGGCACCACATTGAATCCTGCAACAACCCCATGGGATGGATACTCTCTTAATCATTGTTTTACAGATGAGGAAACTGAGGTACAAAGCAGAGATGATGTGACTTGCCTAGGTCACATGCTAGTAAGTGGCAAAGCTCAGATTCCACAGAGGCTGTATGTCTCCAGCCCATATGGTTAAAGTTGAGTTCACCCCACGTGGGGTCCTGTCCCTCCCACCCCGGGGCTTGACCACGTGCCCAAAAGGCACAGGTTATGGCACCTGGGCAAAAAGGTGCCTGAAGAAGATCTCAAGGATGCGTCCCCGCTGCTGCTTGGTCACGGCCTTCCTGAACAGCTGCTTCTCGCTCATCTCCGACACATGGAGGCCCAGGGTCCAGGACGCACAGAAGCCCTGCAGAAGCTGCACAAAGGTGCCCCGCTCCTCCTCAGAGTTAAACAGCAGCACCTGGGTGAGAGGAAGGCCGCACTGATGCTCAGAGCATGGGGGGTTCAGCCTCCCCTCAAAGGACCTTGGGCTGAAGCAGGGAGGGAAAAACTGCTCCCCCTTCATCCAGGCTGGGGTCAGGTAAATGGCCCAAGCAGGTAAGAGGAGGGTCAGATTGAATCTAAAGTCTTCACAGGGGAGCTCTGTAGCTGAGGACAGGGTGACCTGGAAGGAAATCGGGGGTGGGGATAGGGTGGGAGGGAGGGAGGGAGGGGAGGTGTGAGAGGGCAGCCCAGGCAGGGGAGGCAGGACTGGCTGTACCAGGTCATACTCCTTGGGGATCTTGAGCAGCAGGGTCCGGCACCCACGGTTGCTGGCCAAGATGAGGTTGACCTGCTGTGGGGGCTGTAGCTGAATGGTGCGGAGCACAGAGAGCCGCCTGTCCAGGACCTGTAGATGCCTATCTGGGAGCAGCTGGATGATGACAGGATAGCTCTTCTCCCCAGAGCCTGGCCACTCCATCGCTGGGGGAAGGGACGATTGGGCAGAGTGGTCCTACAGAGGTCCTCTTGACCAGTCCAAGAAGGCACCCCAAAGCCTAGCTTTCTCCCGGTGTCTGCAGTCTGATTCTTTCTCCCCAGGACCCCCCCCATCTACCCCTTCTCCCTCTGCCCCATCTCACCTGGCACCCCATCTTTGGCTGCTTCCTTCTTCACGCTCTCTTTGCCTTTCTTTTGTAGCTTCTTGCGCTCTCGGCCCCGGAAATAGGCCACAACCCCAGAGATGAGCAGACTCACTGAAGGGGATCAGAAGGAGCCAGTGGGAAGGGGGCCCCTTGCCTGCAGCTTCATTGAGACTTTGGCTGCTTCCCCTCCCTTCCCAAGGCCCCGAGCCTGGCCTTAAACTGCCAAGGTACCAAGGAGCTAGTCCTGCAGGGCAGCAGGTGATGGAGGGCAGGGACAATCTGTAGGGACGGGGAGGCCAGGAGAAGAGAGATGGGGTGGGAGTGGACTCACCTACGGGCAGAAGGCAGAGAGCCAAGATGGTGATGCCAAAACCAGGACCGCTGCCCTCAAAGTAGTCCGACACGGTCAGGGGCACACACGGGGGCAAGTCGTTGGTTGTGAGCTGCCGGGGCTGAGGGCAGGGTGCTCCTGAGGGAGAAGGCCCAGAAGACCTCAAAACCCAAGAATCCCACTCCTTGGCCAAGCATCCTTCCCCTCAGTCTTGTAAAGGACCAAGACATCCTCTGGCCTAGCCAGGTCCACCTCTCTGGAACCTCTGCTCCCCTCAAAAAATCCCCTTCCAGATGTGTGGTTAATTGCCACCATGAACAACTGCCTCCTTTGCCATGAGACCAGAAGAACTGGATGGTACCCAGCTACCATTACTGAACATTTTGATCAAAGATTCCACGGAAGAATCCTGATTAAAAAGGGGAAAATGCAGAATAGAATTTCAAATTCTCATGGTCTCTACCCTTTCTGGAGGCACAGAGGCTGGAGAAACTCTTAAAACTATTGCCCTGAGATAATCTTTAGACTTTAAATGAAAATTATCCCCTGAAGTCATCTTAAAACCAAACAATGGTTTAGCTTAACTAGTCAAAAAAAAAAAATGCCTTGAGTATTATGCTCTTTGAAGAACTATCAATATGGGATCAAATTGACAACAGCAACTTGAAAGACGAGATAGGAACCTTAGGGGGCAGTGAGTTTATGATAATGGGGGAGAAATGACTCAGAAAAGGAGGGTGAGAATGGTTGCACAACTTGAAGAATGTAAATAATGTCACTGAATTGTACATGTAGAATTTGTTGAAGTGGTATAGCCTTTGCTGTGCGTATTTTCACAAAAAGACTGAATTTAATTTAAAAAAAAAAAGTCCCTGTCCAGGTCCCACCTCTCAGCATCCACCCCAGCTTGACCATAGGGTGCAGGCCACAGGCCAGGCCAGGCCCTACTGTGGTAGCCGGACTAATGCAGGCTTTCCAGCCCTACACAGACAGGCCTGCCTGGAGCCTGGCTTCCTGGACAGCGCCGGGTGATCCCTCTTCACCTGCGTCCTTCCTCCGGCCACTGTTACTTATGTTCTCCCTGGCCACTCACCCGAATGCCAGACAAAGACGTTGGGCTGCAGGGCGCTGGAGTTCACACTGGTGACAGCCACTAGAACGTCCTGGAGGGAAGTATTTCTGATCTCCGCAATCTCGTCCTGAGAGAACAGCCTGGGAGTGAGGAGAGGTGGGGAGCTATTGTGGTGGGAGAGGGATGCAGGCCCCTAGGCCTAGGAACCCAGAGGAAGAAAGAGACCCAGAGAGGCTGGGAAGGGGGTTGTGAGGTAAACTGGGAATCAAGGGCCCACGACGGCTGCCTGGGGCCAGGGAGAGGGTCCAGCGCCCAGGCTGAGGTGGAATCTGAGGTGGAGCTCAGGCAGGCCTTACCCGTTCCTCGTGTTCTCAAACCAGTAGCGGTCACCATCCCGCAGTCGCACGAACTGGTCGAGAACAATGGCACGGAAGAGGGGCCCTGGGTCCCCTCGGCTCTCCAGGAGCCCCCCAGGGAGCAGCTCCAGCCGGGACAGGTCCTGGTGGTACAGGGCAGCTGTGGCCGTCAGCACCTGGGACACCAGAGGAGTCGAGGACTTTGTGTGTATTGGGGAAGGCAGCCACTGCTGCCCCATCCCTGGGACATAGGTCCGCAGCAGGCCCCCCACTGCTCAGGCGTGGGGGAGTCTCCCCCTCCCAGGCAGGCCCCTGTAGTGGAGTGGCAAGTCTGGTGGGAGGATCTGTGTGTCCCTGGCCATGATGAGGCAGGTGCCTGAGGACCACAGCCTGTGAACATTGCTAGCCAGATTGGCCAATCCCTGTGATTAGCAGCTTCACGGGCACCCTACCTGTGGGGAGGGACCCTGCAAGAATAGGACAATAGCACCCAGCCCAGGAGCCACCCTGAAGGAATGGTACAATGTAGGGTTAGGAACATATTCTGGAGTCAAATAGCCTGAATTTAAATCCTGCTGCTAGGATTTACCAACAATTTTGTCCCTAAAACAGGGATAGTGATAGTACAGTGAAACCTGAGAGAGCTGGAACTCAATGGGACGGGACTACCTTTTTTTTCTGGGTCTCGCGTTTTCCGTCTTTGACGGGGTGCAGTCTTACCACTTTTCTATCACTTGTTTTAGGGAAAAACATTTGAGTTTTCCTTCTCTGACAGGTTTTTGCCTTCCACAGGTCCCAGCTTTCACAGATTTTATCGTATCTACTTTATAACATTCTTATGTGGATTAAAAGGAGCCCTTGTGGCGCACTGGTTAAGAGCTTGGCTGCTAAACAAAAGGTTGGTGGTTCAAACCCACCAGCCGCTCCATGGGAGAAAGATGTGGCAGTCTGCTTCTGTAAAGATTACAGCCTCGGAAACCCTGTGGGGCAGTTCTGCTCTGTCCAATAGGGTCACTATGAGCCAGAATTGACTCGACTCGACGGCACGCGACAACAACATGTGAAGGACTTGGGCTAGTCTCCACCACAGGAAAGCTTTAGCTGCTATTATCATGTTACTCTGTTACTCGTCCTGACCTCGGAGTCCACCTGGGGATTGATGTCAGTCCAGTTTTTCGGGGTCCCCAGACCCAAGGCGAGCCGGGCTTGGATATAGCTGGGCAGTCCCATATCCCGGCCACGCTGGATGCTGCTGGCCACGTAGTCTGTGCGGGAGAACTTGCCAGGGCCAGGCCAGTAATCTGAGGAGGAGAGAGGACTAGGCTATGGGCCCAGTTCCCCAACCCTTCCTTCTTCACCCGCAGCCTCACATTGGACCGTTGACACTGTCTGCCCCCACCCCGCCACCCCGCCCCAGCACTCCTCTGCATACAGGCTGTGCCCAGGTTGACCTTGGTAATGGCCTTGGTGTGAGGCCAATGTCACCATGTGTGATCAGTGGCAATTTTCCTCGGGAGACTCCCCTAAGACTCAAGACTATCTTGTCACCAAGTAGTAAATTCCCTGTCCTACACCTCCCTGGTGGCACAATAGTTAAGCGCTCGGCTGATAACCAAAAGGTCAGCAGTTCGAACCCGCTAGCAGCTCTGCAGAAGAAAAGATCTGGTGATCTGCTCCCATAAAGATTACAGCCTAGACAGTTCTACTCTGTCTTATAGGGTCACTATGAGTTGGAATTGAGTCAATGGCACACAGCAGCATACCTCCCTAACCCTGAGACAGGGCTGGATGGAAACCTTTAGAGACCTAAGCACCAAAGAGATTATGGTACTACACACACACTCAGATTTAGGTAATTTAAAATAAAAGCAACACTTACCTGTAAATGAAGGGAAAAAGAGCTCAAAACTCGTTTTTCCTCTGATGGCTATTTGAATTCTGTGTGTGTGTGTGCGCGCGTGTGCGTTTCTGCATTGCAGGTGCCCTAGGCCTGCCTGCTGATTAACTGAGAAGGGTCCCCCAGGCTCCCTGGCCTCGGGCCCCCATCCGTTTGTGCTCACCCCTCAGATCTTCAACCACAATCGTGTCCTCCAGCTCGGAAATCTGGGAAGCCATTCCCAGCAGCAGTTGATTCACCGCGTCGGCACTGTTCAGATTGGGGTTCTGGAAGTAAACACCACATGTAAGGGAAGCTCTAGAGCCCTCCAGGAAGCTCAGCTCCCGTCTCCTCAGAGCCCGAGCTCTCACCCTGGACTACTGCGACACCTCGGGACAAAGCGCCCGTTGCCAGTCCTCATTTCTCCTGAGCTGCTGTTCCCAGATAACCTGCTCACCCTCTGCCCTTCATCTCCCACCAACCTGAAGCAGCAACACCCAGCAACTAGAATTGTTGCGTTTCCTAGCCTGTGTAAAGAGATCACCCTTGATTCACCTTCCCCTGACCTGACCCCAGGCTGACCTCTCGAATCCAGTAGCTGTTGCAGACCCTGAGAGCTGGGGAGCTGTCAAAATCCTCGTTCGAGATGTTCTGGAAATGACAGCTGGCATCTCTGAAATGGAGGAATAGAGAATGTGGTGAGGGAATTCAGGGAAGAGGCTGAGATGGAATTGAGCAGGGTGAAGGACTCCTGAGGGGTGGTCAGGATTGAGGATGGCCCCCAAACTTCCTTGAACACAGCAGGGATTTGGCAATGTGTGTGTACTGAAGGTAGAGGGAGCTGTTTGTTCACAACGGGTGGGGCCAGAAGGAGGGAAGAGGGTGACCCAGCTGCTGGACAATCCCTGCTCTCAGCAACTGAAGTTTGGCCATTAGGAAAGCTGGGGAGACTTCCCTAGGTCCCCAAGGTCTCTCACTCTTCTCTCTGCCTGTGTGCTGTATCTCTCTCACCAGCAGCCCCGCCCTCACCTCATGTAGATGCCTGGGGGCACCATGGTGGAGAAGAACTGCTCAGAGGCTGCCAGGAATTCCGGGGAGATGCTGGGGTCCACGAAAGGGCAATACCCTGGGAGGAGGGGGTAATAAAAGACATAGGCTTCTTACCCTACATTCTCCCATCACATGCACCCAGCCTGTCCTCTACCCTCCTGCTGGATCTTGACCCCCACCACCACCCCATTCTCAGCCTGAGTTCCCCCAGCTCCCTTACCTGTATACGCTGGGGGCGTTACCTGCAGAAAGCTGGGCAACCACTCATACAGAGCAATGTTCTGAGGGGCAGAGAGAGGGGAGAGCAGAAACGTGAGGAGAGGGGAAGCTCAGGGGAGGCTGGATTAAAATAGCTGGCAGGAGGGACCTGAGTCCAAGGAACGCTAAGGTGGGAGATGAGGGCCAGGCAGCACAGCGATGGAAAAGGCTGCTCAAATAGGAGCACTGCCGAGGCCTGTTCCCTAAGTGATTGTGGCTGAGCCTTGTGAAGAGGAATAATGGAATTTGCTGAAGGAGCTAAATAATCACAAGCAGAGTCGCTTGTACAAACAGCGCTTTGCCTCCTTCAACAATTTTCAGGGGCTTTCCCTTCTCCTCTGGGGAGGTCATGCAACATGGTGCGCCTGGGTGAGGGCTGTCTAAGGATGGGGACTCTGCGGGGGTGGGAGTCTCCCGCGGACAGCACGTGGAGGCGCCGTGAGGAGCTGTGGCGGTGGGGAGTACGTGCGGCTGACCTGGTAGGTGGCGATGACCCTCTTGCGCGCGTGCTGGAACAGCTCCTCGTCCCCCCAGTGCGGGTGGTTGCGGGCCAGCCTCTGCGCCCACAGGTTGTGGTAGCGGAACCACAGCAGCCCCAGCGCCTGCAGGAAGGGCTCGCGGTTCCCTCGCTCCGCCCCGAAGTCTGCATCCGACAAGCGAGGCCGGGAGGAGATGGGGGCAGCGTGACCGACGGACGCCCAACCTCGCGGACCCCCACCCGCCCTCCACGGGCCCCGCGCCCCGGGACCTGTCCACCGTGCCCCGCCCCCGCGGCCTCACCGTACAGCCCCCGGGGCCCGCGCTGGCCCGTGGCGGGGTCGGGCGCGGTCCACATGAGCCGCGAGTCCTGTGCGTCCCGGGGGAAGGCGGGGTCGGGCCCCGAGGCCAGCTGCCCCCCGGAGAAGCTCCGCAGCGCGTCGCTCCAGGAGTGCGAGGAGCCATAGATGGCGCTGCCGTCCAGCCAGCCGGTCACCTCGTTGGTCTGCGGGGGCCGGGCTGGTGAGGGGGCGGCGGAGGGGGAGGGCCAGGCGGTGTCGCGGGTCGGGGGCCGCCTCTCCCCACCCGGCCTGGGCCCCGCCTGCTTCCCGTGCACCCCTGCCCCGCCGCCTGCCTCTCCTCACCAGGTCGCGGGGGTTGCTGGGGCTCTGTCCCGTCTTGGGGTCCCAGCGGCTCCTCTGGAAGGGCAGCACCACGTCCCCGCGCTGTTCGGGGTCGAACACGGGGTCTCCGCGCGGGATGCGGATGTTGAGGAACTCGGCGGGGCAGCCGGGTCTCTCCACACTCACCAGGTCCGAGAGCACGTGGTAGCCTACAGTCCAGTAGGGCGCAAACTGGTGAGCAAATGGTGTGCGCCCAGCGCCCCCAACGGGCAGCCTTCGAGAGTTCTCAGGAGCCAAAAGACGGGGCCCTGCGCTCCCACCTGTCTCAGCTGCAAGTTTTGCAGCTAGCTTTTCGACTTAACCGCCATTGCGGTCGAGTGGATTCGGACTCACAGCAACCCGAGTGACAGAGCAGAACAGCCCCATAGGGTTTCTACGGCTGTAATTTTTACGGAAGCCGACTGCCACATCTTTCTCCCTCAGCGGCTGGTGGGTTCCAATCCGCCTTTTCTGGTTAGCAGCCTAGCGCTTAACCACTGCGCCACCAGGGCTCCTCGGCTTCGCCTCAGTGAACCTCAACTTTCTAATCTGCAAAGTAGGGATACAGTACCCTCCCCACGAGCCCACCCACCTCATAACGTTGTTGAGAGAATCAAATAATTAACGTAAATGCTCCGCCAAACCAACCCACATTTTCCTAGCAGATCGTGCCTCCCCCTTCTTCCCTGCGGGGAGGCGTAGAGTGGCAGCCTACCCCGCTCTTGAGAACTATAATTGAGGGCCAGCGGTACGCCTGGGTTTGGGGTAAGGGTAAGAGAAAAAGTTGAGGAGCAAATACCCCTGCATCAACATCCCCAAATCCTTCCACGAGGAAGAAGGAGAGAAGACAGACTCCAAGTGCTACTTGGGGGGAAGAGGTGGCTGGGGATTGCGTGTCGGTCTCCTGGGACTTGCAGAGTGGCCTCAGAGCCCCTCTCCCTAGGCGGTGAGCTGAGCGCCGGGTCGACCCCAGTGATTCTCCCCCCTCCTCCCTTCGCCCTTACCAAAGAAGACCCCCAGCACCGTGCGGTTGCGTTGCGATGCCTGTCCTGCTGGCCCCCGCGTGACGGCGTCGCTGAGCCGGCGCGGGTTGGGCAGCAGAGGTTCCCCGAGAGCCTGATACACTCCGTCCGCGTAATTGGCTGGGACCAGGCGCTGCAGCCGGAAACCTGCGGGAGGCAGGGGGCGGCAATCTGTCAGGACACTCCGTCCCCACGAAACTTACAAATGTCACCGTACTCCCTTCTCCCCTCCTCCCTGCCCAGACCTCTTCTCCCCAGGGTCTCCTAGCCCAAAGAGTGCAGGAGAATGCGCTGCGCAGGCAGCTGACGGCGGGCGGCGCGCTCTCCCAGCTTCTCCGCGCTGGCTCCCGCGCCCCTGCCTCCGCCAGCCGTCTGCCCCCGCCCGCCAGAGCCCCAAGACTCACCCGCAGCGCCTCGCTCGTGGTGTCTCAGGTTGTTGAACCAGCCATCATAGCGCTGCACTTCCCAGGTCAGTGACTGTGCGTCCTGGCTGCCTGTGGGCTCAGAGAGCAGCTCGGTCGGTGCCAGCTTCCCTGCGACCCCTCAGAACTCCGACGGCCTCGGCGCTTCCCCAGCTCGCCGAGCATCCCCACCCGGGCCCAAGTGGCGGTATCTGCCCGGCGGCGCTGGGAGGTTTCCCATCAGGCTGAGCCGCGCAGCGATCGGACCAGACAGTCCAGCCTCTGGGAGCGGCTTGCCTGCCCCTCTCCCTTCGTCCACTCCCAGGGATACCGGCTGGCATCCCGCAGCCAGGGGAGCCTGGTACTTACCCGCTGGGCCCAGGGGTCCCGTCAGCAGAGCTCCCAGGAACACCAAAGCGACTGGCCTTGCGCGAAGCATGCTTACTCTGAGGCCTGGGGAGTGAGGGACACAGAGCTGGCGTCCTCACCCAACCCCACCGCCCGCTCCGATGCCGACAGTCAGCACAGGAGGAGGTGGCGCCAACTATTTCCACTTTTGGAACGAAGCTGTCAGAAGCATCACTGAGGACCTGCATTTGCCCGCCACTCTTTCCAGGACACCTAGCAGCCCTGGAGGCACTGATGCTGTTCCCCAGTCCTCACCCCGTCGGAAAGCTATTCTCCGCCACGGGAACCCACCGGGCACGAGTCCCGTAGGGCATGTCAGCCCTGGAAGGACCTGCCTCCAGCCTCCCAGCGCGTGCCCGCAGCCTCGAATCCTCCCCTCTCCTCTTAACCCGTAGGCACCAAGCACTTCTAGAGGAGCCAGGGAAGGGAAAGAGGGAAGTGAGCTGGGAGCTGGAGCCGGGACCCACCGCCCTCCTCCCACAGTTAGCGCCTGTGTGAGGCGCGGTAAGTGGGAGGAAACCCCGAAACAACTGCTTGGGTGGAAGGCGAGGGCTGAGGAGGTCAGGCGCTAAACCCCGGTCCAGCCTCTGGCTTAGGGCCTCGGTCGGGTTCAGACGTCCCGTTTCCGATTGGAAGCTTCGCTTCTTTTCTTGGCTCTGCTCCCGGCCCTCCACCCAGCGCTCCAGCTCCTCAGCCTCCCAGGCCGCACTCTCACCCTCCTGTCTGGGTCCTCAGACTCGCCGGCGCGCGGGTGTGCTCTCAGGCCAAACCAGCGCCAGGTGTGAGCACCTGGACCTTGGGGCGGCCTTTCTGCTGCGAAGGCGGGGCTTCCCTCATTTGCATAGCGGCCTCCGCCCCTCATTTGCATGACCTCTTCCCGCCCAGACCTCAGTGGCAAGCCTTGACACCCGCGCAGCCCGCCACCCACGCTGCTATAAAAAGGATCCGGGTCCCACGCTCCTTACAAACGCGGCGCGAGCCCACAGAGTCCGGATAATAACTGGCCACCTTCACTGAGAAATAAACCCGCTAGCCCGCTAACCTACAGCGCTCGAGGGCAGCCCGCGGGGCTCGGACTTGGGCAGCCTACACTAGGGGGGAAAGGGAAGCGGAACTGCGCTGCCGACCACAAGTAGGAGTTCTCCTCCCTCTTTGCGGATTGAGCTCCCCAGCCAGGGCGCAGCGCTCCGCCGGGTCGCAGCATGACCCTGTGGGACGGCGAGCTACCCTTCTACCCGCGGCCCCGGCGTGCCGCCGGCTTCAGCGTCCCGCTGCTCATCGTCATTCCGGTGTTCCTGGCCTTGGCCGCCAGCTTCCTGCTGATCTTGCCCGGGATCCGCGGCCGCTCAGTAAGGGGGCGCTGGAAGCTCGGGTCTGGAGGTGGGGGGCGTCGTGGCAGCTTGTCTCTCGGGGATCCAGGACAGGTTAGACTGTGGCAAGGGCCTCGTGGTCAAACTGAGGCACAGGTGCAGCAGACACCTAAGTGTGGCGCACCGAGCGCGGGTTCCTCACAGAGAGAGCCCCCGGCCCAAGGCATCCTGGAGACAGACCCCGCTGGGGTGTTACAGAAGCTGTTGCGGAGTCGGCGCCCAGTGCAGCAATCCCGCGGCTTATTCTAGGCGTCGTGTGCTGCCTGGTCTCCTGCCTCTTCCCGAACTGCGGCTCCATCCCCATCCTCCTCTGGTGAGGACCTTCTCCGTCAGGACAGGCAGCCAGCCACTCAGGCTGCTGTGTTTCCCCTGTGCGCTGAGTTGAGGCGCACAAGTACCGGTGTCCCCATCCCGCACTCGTCTGGAAGTTGTAGCACACTGGGTGCATTTCTTTAGACTCCCCCCTCAACCATCCCCCAACCTAGGTTGTGGTTTTTTCAAGTTCAGGAGGACCCTGCACGCTTACCTTTTGATTTGTGTTGGTTTCGGCGGGAACTGATGCACCTACAAGGCTTTGAGAGGCTAGGTTCCCGTCTCCTCCCCTGCTTGGTGACCAGGCCCTGGAGCCTCCCTCTCCTGGGGGATGTGACCCCTGCCTGCCTAACACTTCTGCACTCACTGAGCCCCACCAAGCAGTGACCCGAGGAGGAGGCTGGACCAGAGCCAGACAGCTGGAGGGAAGAGGATGAGAGAGCGCAAGGCTTAGGCGCCTGGGCTGCGCTGTAGACCGGAAAAGCTACTGGGGAGGCAGAAGTGGCATGACCAGAAAACATCAGAAATGTTGGACCAGGAAGGACTTTCAGGGAAAGCAAACGTGAAGTCATAGGAGTCAAAAAGCCAAAAGCTATTTGAGTCACAGGCTCAAATAGCTTTTGGGGTTTCGCTTCCTGAGGCTGGAATGTCGGGGCAGATCGCTGTGAGGCTCAGCGGGATGGGAAACTTCCCGGCGCGGCCGCGCAGGTACCGCCACTTGGCCCCGGCTGGGGGTGCTCAGTCGAGCAGAGGAAGCGCCGAGGCCGTCGGGTCTCTGACTTACATTTAAAATACTAGGATTGTAACTGGGAAAAGGGCGTGGAGCAAGAGGTCCAGGCGCAGGGGCTCTAAAGAGCGAAGGTGGCTGGGGTCATGGGAGGTCTTGGGGGCTCAGGCTGTTCAGTGCCTGGGCCTGATTTTGGTGCCTATTCCCGCAGCGCTGGTTCTGGCTGGTGAGAATTCTTCTCAGTCTGTTCATCGGCGCTGAAATTGTGGGTGAGTGTGTGATGCAGGGTGGGAGAGCACCTGAGGTGAGGCGGGAGATGAGCAGAGATCCGCGGGGAAAATCCCGGAGCACTCTCCCCCTTCTACGGGTTCTTTCTGGTGCCCACTCCTCTGCCCTAACTATACACGCCACACTGGATCCCTAGACCCCCCCCCCACCTCTCCGCACAGTGTCCCATCTCCCATCGTCACTCATCTTAATGCCATCTCCTCCCCCCTCCGCCCGTGTGCCTCTCCTCACAGCCGTGCACTTCAGCGCAGAATGGTTCGTGGGTAGGGTCAGCACCTCGACGTCCTACAAGGCCTTCAGTGCTGCACGTGTCAGCGCCCGTGTCGGTCTGCACGTGGGCCTGGACGGCATTAATATTACACTCACAGGTGAGGGGGCTGGGGCTGGCCGACCCGGATTTAGGGGAAGGGGGGGGGGGGCAGTTAGAGGACCTCCTAGGTCTTACAGGCTCAAATAGCTTTTGGCTTTCATGGATTTGCATTTTGCCAGCCTCCGCCAAACCCGTTTCTCCCGCCATGGGCGCCCCGTCCCCACTTTCCTAGCCGAATCCGCCCAGTTGCCCCCGCCCAGAACCGCGCGCTGACCCGTAACCCCGCCGCGCTCCGCAGGAACCCCAGTGCAGCAGCTGAACGAGACCATCAACTACAACGAGCAGTTCAGCTGGCGTCTGGGCAAGAACTACGCCCAGGAGTACGCGGAGGCACGAGTGAAGGGGCTGCCGGACCCGGTGCTCTACCTAGCGGAGAAGTTCACTCCGAGCAGCCCCTGCGGACTCTACCGGCAGTACCGCCTGGCGGGACACTACGCCTCGGCCCTGCTCTGGTGAGGGCTGGAGGGAGGTCCTGCGTGTGCGCGCGCGCGCGTCGGGAGGGATAGGGGGTCTGTGTGAAGAGGCGATTGGGTCCTTGGAGGCGCGCTCCAGTTACAGTCCAGCGCGCACCAAGTCAGAAGGTCATGAGGTCCACACAGACCGTCGGAATCGGGAAAGACCCAGCAATGGCCTAGAGCCCGCTTCTCCCCCGGAGATTCCCCTAAGCCTTTGCCTCTGCCATCCAAGCCTCGGACTTCCGCGCTGGGCTCGGGACGCAGCCGAGCAAGGCTGTAGGGACCCCAGCTGTCTCGAAGAATTTCGCGCAGTAATTAGCGACCTGCTTTCAACAGCCCCTTCCTGGCTCGCTGGGCTCTAGCTCAACGAGACAGGTGCAGGAAAGCCCCCCTTCAGACCTGGAGTGGTCTCCTCCCTCCAGAGTCTCCCGGGTGGGGCCGGGGCGCGTCCTCCCCGCTCACGGCGCGACGGGTCTCCCCGCAGGGTGGCGTTCTGCCTCTGGCTCGTCTCCAACGCGCTGCTCTCCATGCCGGTCCCGCTCCACGGAGGCCTGGCGCTGCTGACCACCGGCGCCAGCGCGCTCTTCGCGGTCTTCACCTTCGCCTCCATCTCCAGCGCGCCCTTCTGCCCGCTGCGCCTCGGCTCCGCCACGCTCACCGCTCATTACGGCGCAGCCTTTTGGGTCACGCTAGCCATCGGTGAGGACTGGGGAGCGGGGCCGGGCCGCGGAGGGCAGGTGGGGACGGGGTTTGCGCCTGGTGTGCGCTTTCTGGCTTACAAAATGCGTTCACATCTCCGATCTAGTTTGCCTCTCTCGTTTCGTAGAGGTAGGCACTATTCTATCTGCCCATTTTACAGATGGGGATGGGGAGGGGCGTCAGAAGGGCTCAGTATCTTGCCCCAGTCAGTGCGCGAACGAGTGCCTCATATAATCCATATTAGAGGTTTGTCTGCAATGTGTGTGAGCGTGTGTGTGTTGGGAAAGGAAACCCACAGATGGCAGAGGGCGAGCCGGCTTCTGGCTCCGAGCCCTGGCTGCCCCCTTTACTCCAGTCCCCGTCGCCGCAGGCATCCTGTGTCTCCTCCTCGGAGGGGCGGTAGTCGGTTTCCACTACGCGCGGCCCAGCGCTCTTCTCATCTTCCTGGACCGAAGCGACAAGGACCCTGCAGGCCAGGCGAGAGGGGGCTCGCCTCTCATCCTCAGCAGCCCTGTGCACAAGCAGTCCGAGGATCCGGATTCACAGATTATCACTCACCTGTGAAAGCGACGGAGCCCCGGACTCCTATCCCGCCTTAGACCCGTGCAGGCCTGGAAGCAGTGCCCTCAGGGCCTGGACCGGGGGAACTCGGGGAGGGGGACAGCGCTGTGGGCGCCTGCGGAAGGGCAGGCAGCCTCGGACCCGGGACACCGCCGCAAGCCCCCGGGAAAGAGTCTCCCAGGATGAGCTGTAAATAAACTTTTCTTTTGTGGTTATTTTTTTTTTTTAATAAAAAAATTTTTTTTCCTTAATTTCCGTGGCTTCTCCATGCTCTTGGGGACGTGCTCTGGGGAGGTTTCGCTGGGAGACAGCCTAATACACTCTTTGCCTTGCTGCGAAGCCGGAAAGAAGCCGATTTTCTTCTTTAGGAGACACGGGCGTAATCCAGGAAAGGCTCTGGGAGAGGGGCGCCCTCTAGTGGGGCCGTAGGGGAACCGACCGGAGCTAGCATGTGCCTGAGCCGCGGCTCACGCTGATCTGAGTGGACTGGGGAGGAATAGCCTTTTGGAGTTTATTCACTAACTCCTCGCACTTGGCTCCTTTTGGGGTGGTGTCTAAGGGCCTAGGTAGACGTCAGCAAGGCATAAAAATGTAAATCCTGGAGTTTCCTAGATCCTTGGCAAGCATTACAATCTTATTTGGCAAATCTGGAAAGTGAAGCTCAAAGAGAATGTGGCATAGATGGTTAAGGTGAGACCTGGGCGGAGAAGTTTGGTCTCTACATGGTGCTTTCACGGCACCAAGAGGCCACACAAGGCAGGGAAATAAAGGAAGAACAAAAGAGGCCCAGGAAAAAGGAAAACAAGAGATGTAGAGGGATGAGAGGGACCAAATGAAAATGATACAGTAATCCCCCCTCACACATATGTGAAGTTGGGTTTCAGTGAATGTCAAGGACACTCAAAGAGGCAAAGCATCAAGGAAAAGCAGCCTTGCTGTGCAAGAAGCACGGGCAGCTCCCTGCTTCGTCTTCACCATGCAACAGGATTATGTGCGTGCTGAATGTCTGTACAGCACCTCACGGGCTTTTTTTCTTTTATAACATCAGTGGGTAGAGCACCCTCTTTCTATCCACCGACAGATTGGAGCTGGGGGCTAGATGCACCCACTGGTGGGTGGCTGTGGTGCTTTTATCGGGCTCCAATGAGGTCTGGAGCCCAATCGGAAGTCCAGGTGGCCGTCGGAAGAAGATTATAGGGCACAGTCAGGCTCCCTGGGGTGCTCCTCCTTGCAGCACACCTTGGAGGAAGCCCCTGACAGAGGGATGTCCTGGGTCTTGGGACTCTCAGCCATGGATCGGTAGCGGGGGCTCAGGAGTCCTCCTTCCTCAGGACTCCACTCCAGCACAGGGTCCTCCCCTGCACTCTGGTTGAAGAAAGCCTTTAGCCTGTGGGGCTGCATCCTGTGGGCCACCGCCATGGCCAGGCCTAGCAACACACACAGCAGTCCTGGGGACAAGAGCAACAGGTGTCCTACCTTAGTGCCAGTAATCCTGTCCCATGGACATCTTCTCCTAGGAGCATCTGGACAAGTCTAAGGAAGACCTAGGGTCCTTGCTTCAGGGCAACTCAGGCTCAGAGAGGTGACTAGCTTAGGGCCATACAGCTGGTGCAGCTCTGTTGTTCTGACTTTCTGGACTCTAAGCTCAGTGCTCTTTCAGTTACATCCCAACAGAGAGAGAGAATGAACTCTGAGAAGAGAGCACAGAGGAGGAAGCATGGAGAAGGGCACAGGGGCAGACCCAGGGACAAGACAGGAGAGGAAACTGCAGGACAGTTTAGGGCCATTGAGGCAGGGACAGAGAAGGGCTCTAGGACTGGGGGCACAGAGGATGCTTGGAGGAGGAAGGAGGGGACTTGGGGTTGGAAGTTTAGGAAGGAGCTGGGTGGAGAGAGTTGGGAGATGAGGGACCTGGCAGAGACAGAGAGAAGATGCAGGAGCGCGGGCATGTATGAGGAGGGACGGGGAGCAGAATCGAGGAGAGAAAACCAGGAGATGAGAGACTTAAGAGGGATGGGGTCTTAAAGATGGGAAAGGCAGCCCTAGCTCCCGGAGGCAGACCCTCAACCCCACAACATGACAGTCCTCGGCCCTTCCTCCCTTGTCCTGACCTCTCTAGTACCTGTCTTCAGGGCTGGGCCTCACCTGTGGTCAACGTGATCCAGAAGGCAGGCCCACAGTGAGTGTGCAGCGTGGCAGTGCCCAGGTGCAGGGGACAGGGAGGGGTAAGTGAAGTGGCCATGGAGAAGAAGAGCAGTGCCAACAGCTGGAAGACGCCTGTGGCCAGCAGCATGTGGCCGCCGTAGACCAGCACGGCCATGGACAGCATCACGTTGGTCAGCAGCCAGCAGAGAAATGCCAACCTGGAGAGCTAGAACCTGGTGAGGGCTGGCCCGGGCACCTCTACCTGCTGGTGGAGGCTCAGGGACCCAAGGATGCCCCCAAAGATGTGAGGTAGGGATTCCTGCCCATGGGCTTCCCAGCCAAGTTCCATGGAGACTGGTGCCAGCCTGTCCCACCAGGGGCTTTCACATGCGTAGAGGAGGGATGGGTAAACCCTCAATCCTGGGTCTAAGCCAGCAGGGCCTCCATCCCCCCACCCCTTCCAACACTCACCACAGCATGGCCGACGTGTAGTGTCCTGCAAGGCGGTACTGGTGGTGCAGGCCACACGGGCTGCTCGGGCTGAACTTCTCAGCCAGGTAGAGCACAGGGTCGGGCAACCCCTTCGCCAGTGCCTTTGCATACTTCTTAGCGTAGTTCTCACCCAGGCGCCAGGTGAACTCCTCATTGTAATTGATGGTCTCGTTCAGCTGCTGCACCGGGATCCCTAGGGAACGGTCAGCTGGGCTCAGCAGGGACCCCAGGGCCAGCGTGTGGGCATTCACCTGGACAGGGGCTCACCCTCACTGGGCAGAGGGACAACAGATGGTCTCAGGTGAGAGAAGGCAGCTTCCAAGGCCTCTGAAATTTCCTCCCATCCATTCCTCCCACCACCCACACATCAGTGCCAGATATCCTGTAGCTGCTTGGAACACACCCAACACAGATCTCAAGGACACACAGCAGAACCTTCCCCTCCCTCTCAGGTAAGAGCCTCACCTGTGAGTGTGATGTTGACTCCTCCCAGCCCGACCTGCAGTCCAATGTTGGCGCTGATCCCCTCAGAACTGAAGGCCTTGTATGACGTATTGGTGCTGACCTGGCCCACAGACCACTCAGAACTGAAATTCACAGCTGCGTTTGGGGAGTTGGACATGTGGGAACTCAGGGACATGTGGGATTTGGCCATCACTGGGTTTGGCCACTGCAACGGGTCCATGTTTGGTTTACTGTTAATTGCATACCCAGTAAGTAGCCCAGGCAGGGTCTGGTGCCTGCTAAATCCATAAACAATATATGGGATGGACAAAGGGGTCAGAGTCCAAGATCTCTCCCGGTCACACTCTGCTTGTCCCCCACCCCGCCATTTAGGGAGAGCCACTCAGGTAGCTAGGAGAGGAAACATTAACACAACAAACGGTAACTTCAAAGGCAACTTCAACACTGAGACATCTCTCCTGTCTGCCTAATCACCAGAGCAAAGCAAGCAGCCCTCCCCCATTTCCTCTGTTCCTGTCTCCAGAGGTCCTCTCCCCACAGATGGTTATTCTGGCTTGCTCTCCCCTGAATAAAGCTAGAAAGGGTTGGGGAGATGACTCCACCATGGTTTCCCCAGGGGCCCGCACCCCTCAGGGCAAGGGTGAGAGTGAGGCCATGACGCCACTGCGCGGGAGGCATGTGGACAGGGTCTGGAAGGTCAGTCTGAAACAATGGGCTGCGTGGGGGAGCAAAGCCCAGAGAGGAGAAGCAGACTTGGGGAACTAGATGGGATGAAGGCAGTTGCCCAAGTCAGCTGCACTTAGCACTCACCCAGGATCACAGCCCCGATGAATAAGCTGGTCACCACCCGCAGCAGCCAGAACAGCCTCTGAGTCACAGAGTGGGTGGGTTTAGTAAGGTGCGCCCTCCCTCCAAGTCCACCCTTCTTCTTGCCAAATTTGGTGGGGGTGCCTCTAAAATTGTGGTCACTTTGTCAAGGAAGGTGAGCTTGTCTGGCACATAGTAGGTGCTCAATAATGATCTCCTGAATCAGTGAATGGGGGGTGTAGTGTGGTGTGAAAACCTTTCTTAGCTGGAGTTTTTTCCTGAGCTTGTGGTAGTCAGGGAGACCAGACCCCCACCCGGAGGCTGAGGCCTTTCTGGGGCTGGGGACCCCAGGGCCAGGTTTGCTTCTCACCATCTTGCCCCGAATGCCAGGCAGGATGACGATGAAGGTGACTAGAGCTGTCAGAAACATGGTGGTGATCGCGGCCAGGGTGGTGTCCATCGGGAAGGTCGGCTTGGGGCCAGCATAGAAGGGGAACGTGTGTCCCAAAGCAGCCATTTTGGTGAGGGTGTGCGGGGGAGGGAGATGCTGCACAGAACAATAGATATTTATAGTGTGTCCTCTGTGTACCAGGCAGTGTTGTTGGTGCTGGAGACGGAGCAGAGAATAAAACAGACCAGGTTCCTCTTCTCTGGAGCTGACATTTCAGTGCCTCACCAGACTCCACTGTTCCTGCCATTCCACTGCCCCGCAGCCCCCTCCCACCCCAGGCCCCATATCCTGGCTCTGACAGAATGAGCGTCTCAGCAATCAGTCTCTTTTGCCCCACGGTCCCTTCCTAACCCCTAGGTCCCTTAAATCAGCAGCACCACTACCCTCGAGGCTTCTCTGTTTCCTCTGAGACTGTCTTAAGAAACATAATTCTCTTTTATCTCCCTCAGGCCTATAGCACAAGCAGAGAGATCACAGAACATAAAAAGTGCTATATTTCCAGAAAGCAGAAGGGGACAAGGAAGCCGGTGATAGGGAACCCAAGGTTGAGTAAGGATATTGTTGATGTGTTGTGAGATTGTTAACCATTGTCATAGGGCAACATTTGTAGTAACTGTTAAATGAGAAACTATTTTGTTCTGTAAGCCTTCATCTTAAGTGAGAATAACAGCACAATTCGAAGAGCGTAGTCAGTGTCACTGAACTGTGCATGTAGAAATTTTTGAAACGGTGTATCTTTGGCTATGTGTATTTTCACCAAAAAAAAAAAAAAAAGGTTGAGAAGTTAGAGGGTTGATACGTTGCAGGGTTGTTAACCAATGTCATAAAACAACATGTGGACTTCTGTTTCATGAGAAAATATTTGTTCTGTAAGCCTTCACCGGAAGTACAATAAAAAAATAAAAAATAGATAAATAAATAAAGTGCTATATTTACTACCAAGTGAAGGCATAAGGGTGAAAGATAAGACAGATTACAACAAGACTGGCTTTCTTCCGCAGTCAAAGGAACAAAGGCCAGACAGTTCTGTTAAGCATGGAATTCAGCTGCATCATCAGAGGGCTGATTCCCAAACGTGGCACCACCCACACTGGTCTGTCCAGCTTTCTCAGGCACCCTGGCTGCTGTTCCAGCAAGTCCAGAACCACTGCGCTTAACTGAATTCACCTCAGTAAGCACTGAAGGATCACTCGTCCTCCACCAGGCACAGTGCTGGGGCCAGGTGTCCTCTCCACACATCACCAACATTGGCCCTTCTCTTCTGCTCAGATCCCCAGGCCTCCTTTCAGCTCAGACTTTGGCTTTGGTCTTCTCTGCCCCTCCCCTGATCTCAGCTAGTTTGACCTCCACCTTCCCTTTGCAGACAGGAGATTGGAAAATGGTACCTGCACTCACTATGTTGTTAAATCTAAGACAGAATAGATTGCAAGATACACTATTATTTTATGTACAACGAAGAAAGAACAATGCTGTCAATTAAACCATGATAGCCATTGCTTGTAAGACACACCCCAATTTCAGAGATGTTAAAAAGTAGGGGAAAAGTGCATCTTAGAATCGAAGATCTCAGCTTTGCTCATTTCCTTAAGTGTCATCTGTACCAGGGTCTCAGTTTGCCCAGAAGGTTCCACAGCTTATAGTCTGACCCTATGGGGTCTTGTTGAGCAGTACAGTGAAAGAATAAGCTTTGGAGTCAACAGCCCTAGGTTCTGCCTTGGCCTCTTGCAAGTCACTTAACCTCTACAGAGACTTGCCTTTATTGAAAAATGGGGAGAGTACTGTCTACCTCATAGGGTCGTTGTGAGTATGAAATGAGATTGTGTATGTAAAATGCTAAGAATAGTGCCTGGAACGGAGTAATATCAATAAATTGAAGCTACCAGGTTGGGAAGGAGGGGTCATTTCATTACTCCTTTTATCTCTTTCTGCAATCCTTGGAGAGAGAGAGCCCTGGGCTGGAATCAGTTCTAGGTCTAGTTTCAGTTCTTCACTGACTAATTTTGTAACACTGGACAGGCAAGTGACAACTTCCCTGGTCCTCTTTTCTTCATCTGTACTTGGATATCCAAGTACCTTCTAGTTCTATATGCTGTGATTCTCCTACAATACACCCTAGCTCTTAGCCTGCCCTTCTTCCAAGCTGTCCACCTTTCTGTGGGGATAGCATGGTGTCAGACAAAGAGAAAGAAAGATACATTTAGTTGTTAGTCCTGTCTTTTGGGCAAGTCACATAACCTCTGAGTCTCATTTTTAACATGAAGTTTTTGCTTTTTTTTTTTTCTTAACTGTTCAATCCCC